TGACTTTCCTCTTGTCCCACTATCATGTTCAGCCTTCATTTGGGTTTCAGTAATTCCTCTCGGTTACATTACCCTTGGTCACGCCCTATCAGGCCTCCTGCACCCTCCTGACCATTGATTTGGATCAGCAAGTGGCAATTTCTTATAAAGATTTTTAACCCCTTGTCCTACTCTTACTGAGTCTTCCATCCTCCAGCCATCTCCAACCCATTGTTTTGTTTTTTCTTCGCAGGGCTTAAATGCTCCAAGTGAGCCACCATTTGAGCCTCCAGCCCCAGCCCCATATGCTGGGCCCCTCCCACCTTCAACGTACTGCCCCTGCTCAATTCACCCTGATGCTGGCTTCCCTCTCCCTCCACCACCCTTTGAGTTTCCAACACCCACATCCCATATCCCAGAGCCCCCATACTGCTATGGTAACTTGGCCATCCCAGTCTCTAAGCCACTGACCCTGTCAGGCTTGCTTAGTGAGCCCCTCTCAGACCCACTGGCTCTCCTGGACATTGGGTTGCCTGTGGGGACACCCAAGCCCCAAGAAGACCCAGAGTCAGACTCAGGATTATCTCTTAACTATAGTGATGCAGAATCTCTTGAGCTGGAGGGGCCGGAGGCTGGACGGCGGCGCAGCGAGTATGTAGAGATGTACCCAGTGGAGTACCCTTACTCACTAATGCCCAACTCCTTGGCCCATCCCAACTACTCCTTGTCACCTACTGAGTCGCCCTTGGCCTTAGAGTCCTCCTCAGGCCCTGTGCGAGCCAAGGCCAGCGCCCGGGGCGAGTCAGGGAGTCGGGATGAACGGCGGGCCCTGGCCATGAAGATCCCCTTTCCCACGGATAAGATTGTCAACCTGCCAGTAGATGACTTTAATGAGCTGCTGGCAAGGTACCCACTGACGGACAGCCAGCTGGCGCTAGTTCGGGACATCCGACGTCGGGGCAAGAACAAGGTTGCTGCTCAGAACTGCCGCAAGAGGAAGCTGGAGACCATCGTGCAGCTGGAGCGGGAACTGGACCGGCTGGGCAGTGAGCGAGAGCGGCTTCTCCGGGCCCGGGGGGAGGCTGACCGGACCCTGGAGGCCATGCGCCAACAGCTGACTGAGCTGTACAGAGACATCTTCCAGCACCTGCGGGATGGAGCTGGCAACAGCTACTCCCCTGAGGAGTATGCGCTGCAACAGGCTGCTGATGGGACCGTATTCCTGGTGTCCAGAGGTGCCAAGACGGAAGCCACAGACTGACTTGACTCAGCGGGTGGGATTGGTAACAGGATTTCTTTCATTCTAGTAAAGGTACTCCCCAATCCTGAGCCCAGAAGAAACTGGGTTCTCTAAACCAGAGTGGACAATGGATACACCTGCCATTTAGAGGCTTGGGAATGGGAGTTCCCAAAGTGGGCAATACTACCTGACAGGGTGGGAGCAGGTTGCAACAGTAGACAGCCACATTTGAACCTGGATTATGGGTTACAGTACAAGTTTTCATTGCAAGGGGGCACTGAATACATTTCTGAAAAGGGAATGGTAGGTCAAATTAGTTTGGGAACCTATGTTCTGGCACATGCTCACCTTTTAGGCAAGCACGAGAGGAAGCTGGGAATGTTCTTTGCAGCAATTCAGCTTACAACCTCCAGGTCTTGTTAATTTGGTCTATAAAGCGCTCTCCAGAAAACATCCACCTGTTGTCTTTCTTAAGAGTGATGAGGCTTTAGAACATTACTTTTACTGGAAGTTGGGACAAGCTCATGTTTGGCATGTCCAACAGAAAAAGAGCTAAGTCAAACTCATTGCCTATGAGTCAGAAAAGAACTGCCTCTGTGGGTTTCTGAGGCTTTAAGTCCTTACAGTAGTAGAAAGCCTCCTCTTTCTCCCACAAAGCTGCTGGTGGTTTCAAACTGCTAACCTTGTGGTATGGACAAAGATTAGGGCCTTGAATATTCCTAGTATTTAGTCATTTGTCTTGAGCAGTGTGACGATTATTTTCTTTTTTCCAGAGACAGCTCTAACAAACTCCACACTCCCTGATGGTGCCTTACTGGGTTAGGAGAGCTCCGAAAGCCGAGTAGAGCACTAGGGTTTACGTTTAGACCGCTCAATCCCTAAGAGCACAAAAAACGCTTCCATTGGCTTTCATGTGCCTACCTCTGTAGGACTCCCTTAGCCTGGGCCCTGATGTGTCAGAACTCTTCTAAATTTTTACTTTATATCCAGGACTTAATAAAATATGGTTTCTCTGGTCGTTAAATGCTGGAATTTTTGGCTTGGTGTCTCCCCTTTACAACCTGCCAGTTTGGAAACTTGCTTAGCTAAAGGTCTACTAAATTGCCTTGCCCCCTACCCTATATTCCTAACCCCTGAATTTCATTGCCCTCATCATCCTCAAAACATTTCCTCTCCACTTAAGCCCCTGGCATTAGGCCCTCACTTTTCCCCTCCCTCACGAGCCCTTGATAATTTATAAATTATTTTGTCATATCTTACCCTGTCCGACGTCCCCCGGGAGGTCACATGTAGTTCCTTGTAATCAGTTCCCTCCTTCAAACCCTCTCCTTCTACCTTCCCAGTATCACCACTCACACCACTGGTCCTGTAGGGATCATCCGCCCTGGATTCCGTTATTTCCAGTTCCTAACTGTACCAGTGTACATCCTCTGGTCTAGCCAGATTTACAAGGTAGAATTCGGATCTTGATAGTGGAGGGTGGAGGAAACATTTAGGAACTAGAGAAAAGTTTTATTTTTCATCGTTGCTACGTCACACCTTGACTGACAAATCAACTCCCCGAGACCCCTCTGCAAGGGGATCTCCAGTGGCCTACTAATGGGCTCTGGGTCTCCACTCCACACTCCCAATCATTCACTATGGTAAGAATTTTTGTTCTGATGATGCCTTATACCCGATCCCTTCGACACAGGCTGGTGTGCTTCTTCCATGTGGGCTTTGTTGCTTCTGAGCTTGATGGCCGCTTGATTACCTTCAAGCCTTTAAGATCCCAGATGCTCTTTTGATAGCCTGACACACACCATCAGCTTTCTTCACCTCAAGTACTCCCTCAATGCAAGAATACTTTCTTTTATTAAATTGGCATTCTATGATGCTCACCCTCCCAACACAACCGCTGAAGACAAAGTGGGTGAACTGTGGTCATTTTTATAAACAATTTTCAATACATGTAAGCATTTGTTTGGTGTAACATGGCACAATGCACCCGTGACTAAAAGATCACAAAAAGATGGACTTTCAACCTCACAGCTAAGGTTTTAGCCTTACCACTGCCAACTCAATGCTGACTTTACTTATCAGTTCATAGGAATTGGCCATCTTTCCTGCTGGAGCTGCTGCTTTTGAACTGCTTATCATACAGATTGCATCCCAACATGCAACTCCATGTGAGGCAGGGTAGGGAGAACTCTCCCCGTGAACCTGAAAAGCCTAGTTTCCTCTGGAGCAACTGGTGGGCTTCAAACCACCGACTCTGGCTTGCAACCCATAAGCACCTCTACCAGGGAAAAGCAACAGAATGTCAACTTGCAAAGAAAAATACTGAAACTTACTTTTCTGCCACTCATTGTGCCTTGCACATTTTGCACACACTTTTGAGGACAGTGGCATGGACAGGTCTCATGTATGCAACACACTAACAGATCTGTGCTGAAAACTGACATTAAAAAGGACTTCATGAGAGGTTAATTCAGGCCCACCTCAATTTTTGCTAGATTAAAAGCAGTGAGCCTTTCAAGATCACTTAATGAACCTTAAAACTACCAGAGGCTAAAGCCTCATTCTTCCAGTCAACCCCTTTGTGACAGCTGGCCAATAAATACAAAGTGTTCACCTAAAATGAGATGCATTATGTGCTTCCAGAATGGCTCAAAACCAGATCCCAGAAGAGAGTCATTGAAGCTCAATGGCAGCTGTTAGCTTGTCCTACAAATGTTTTCCCTCATTGTCAGGGGAGCAAGAAAAGAAACTTGCTTAAACGGAGCCAGACCACCAACAGCTTACTTCTATTGGGCCAGATTATGTTAGTTTCTATCGTCATTTAACAATGTGGAATAAATTGGACACTTAAGCCCCTAATGGAATGTCGACATTTCATCTTAAGAACCAAGTAGCACTGGGAATAATATGGGATTTGATTGCCAAAATAATTCAGTTGAGATGGGATTTTAAACAGGCAGGCCCATTTAAAAGGAGGAAAAATCTTATTTTCAAATTCACAGGTGAAAAGTAAACGCACAATACAACACCAAGTTATTCACCAGGAATAAAAGACAGAACAAAACTTAGAGGAAGTTTATTAATAATTATTCACAAAATTGAATTATTTAAAGCTGCATAGCAGCCAATGTCAACTGCATGGCAGTCAGGCACAAGTACTAGCAGTGACTCAGGTTGTCCTCACAAAGCTGTTCCTGCAAAGACAAAAGGTGGCAATGAGGGAACTTTAAGCAGAGGTAAAGAACACTACTAGCTGTCATATAACCCACTCTCCTTATTATGCCGTCAGGTTTTATGGAATCATTCTTGGGGGGCAGAGCAACAGGTCATCTTACTTTTCACTGTGTCAATACCAAGATTAAATTTACTTACCCTTTAGCTGTGTGCTTGGACAGATGATTCTTTTTATTTATAAAATTAAGAGCGGAAAAGCCTGAAGTAGTAGCAGATTCTTCCCTAGAAAAGCAAGCAACCTCTTAGAACTAGTTCTTTTCGAGAACAAGCCCCATCAAACCAAGCCCCACTCCGCCCCCACTTCCCACTAATGGTCTACCCACCCACCCATAATCATTTTGGGGGAGAAAAGTAGAATGCATTACTTTGAGCCGTGATTGCAAAAAAAAAGGGTCCTTAAATGGATATTTACATTAAAGGGCAAGACTATGTCAAAACAATTACAGTTTAAGTGTTTTTCATTTCCTTCAATTGGTAGCCAGAGGCTAGATCATTAATATTTCATCTCCAGAAAAACCAAGTTCAGGTTTAACTGTACTAGTTTTGGCTCATACAGTTAAGAGATATTTAACAGTTAACTAGATATGGGTATAAGTAAAATCTGTTCTTACCTACTAACATAGCAATAAAACCTTCCCTCCTGGTTCTGACCGCTAGTCCTAAGAGTCAGATGTGCCTTACTCTTGTCTGCCTCCTTCCTTGCGATGGGTCACTGCAACTTCCCTCCTAGCTTTCACGGAGCGTGCGTGGCCTGCCCCTGGCTTATCTGTACTCCACATACCACAAGTGTCTACTCTCAGCTGCAGAGTGTCTGAGCTCGAAGCCATTCGCGCTATGCTTGCTAGCAGTTCCTAGTAGCTGAACATCTCTCCTCGATCTTTAAAGGCATTGTCAGGAATCATGAGGTATCTGCAAACTCCCTCAACAGTTAAGGTTCCACCTGCTATTGCAAACTCAGCCAGTATCAAACTCATAGGACTATCATCCACAGCCCCCCCCCAACCCCCACCTCCCACCCACCCCCAACTTCAATGAACATACCCAGGATGGAATATAGAACAATCTCTATACTAGATACATTGGCACTATATTAACAATTATTGATTAGGTAACCATTAACGATGTAAAGTCATTTTCTATACAATTAACACTTTCAGGTGTGTGAACCCTTGTGCCGCATTTAAAGGAAAACTGCAGTCAAGTGAACTTACGCAGATAAGTTACCCACACTCTACATTGTCTTTCCAGACGATCGCTGATATCTATGGACCTTCATGAAAACCCACCCAACCAGAGCCCACTGAAACTGCAGTGTTCCTTCAATGCAAACCTATTTTTCAAAACGCCAAAAGGAAAATTGGTGTATCCAAACACTCCTACAGTTGGAGGGTCCCAGGGAAGCACTACCAGTAGCTGGCAGTTGGTGTCTATTCCCTGGCAGAGTTTTGAACTTCTGTGAGCAATATTCAACTTTGTTCAGGGGTGGGTGGGTGTGTTAAGTCCAAATCTCTGCCAGTCCAAAATCCACACAGTTGCCATTCCACTCAAGATTAAATTGTTTATTGATTACACATGATAATGGATGATACATAAGTTCCAACTCCATCTGTAATTTTATCTGCTACCATTATTTAATTTAGATATATTGCATAGGATGTGCCAACAACCATTTTTTATAACCAAATAAATGTAATTAATTTGCTTGGGTGACCATTTTTAATGGTGAACTCCAGGTTACAAAACAGCAACTGTCAGTGCAACTAACAACCAAGGTCTCTGACAAGAGTGGCTCCTCTGCCCAAGCAGTCTTCAAGTTATTTGTATGTATGTTTCAAAGCAACCTGGCACCACCCTCAACGGAGTCTACGCTTCACACTGTCGGGGCAGTTTTATACCAAGATGGCTTAAGAGTAGACTAACTTTACACAGCACATTTAAAAAGACATTTATTTAGCGTCATGATCAGACCATTACATTTAGCAATCAACAGCATGGGTGCAAAAAAAAGGGAAAAAAAACTACATTAAAACCCCTTGTTGGAATGCTTTACACTTTCCACAGAACAGAAACTAAAATAACCTGTTATACAATTAGTCACAAACACAGTCCTCAAGTTCTTTTGCCCATACACGAGTATTTCTAAAACATGTCTTCTTTGTAGCAGCTAGGCCCTGCCACCACTGTGCTTGGCTGAGTTCACAAATCTGTTGTAACCTGTAGCTTCCCTGTCACTTCTCTGGCTCTCCTCTCCTGCTAAGCTTTGTTTCCTGTTGAACAATATGGAATAAAGTTGTTAATCTAAACATATCAAGACTCAAGGCTACAATCCAACAGCAAGTTGTTTCCCACAAATTTTGCTCTTCTGAACATTAACTTAGTATCCACAATTAAACTGCAATTACGTTAACTATGTTGCACTGCTCAGCTACATTAGGGTTACTATGTTTATTAGCAATTACAAAAACTAAGTCAGACCAGGAGAAAGTGCTCACTTACCTGGTAGTCATTTAAAATCTTCTGCCACTGCCATAACTACTGCTACTGTTTGAGCCACCATAGCCACCTGAGAAGAAAAATCGTCATTTTGAAAAGTACCTACAAACACTTTCACAAGTGATATTATAAAAGCTCAAATCAAGAAACCATTTAAAAATGGCCCTTAGTTGAGCTGCTGGGTGTTCATTTACCAGTACTGTCAATGGCCACACTTAACTTTCCAGCATGTGCACAATACCTTGGTTTCGTGGTTTGGCAAAATATTGACCTCCACCACCGTAAGGGCCAGAGCTTCTGCCTCCAAAGTTCCCTCCCTTCATTGGTCCGAAATTGGAAGACTGATTGTTGTAGTTGCCAAAATCATTGTAGCTTCCACCACCTCCAAAGTTGCTTCCTAGGAAGAGAAAAACCTTGGCCTATTAGTTGAAGATGATTGCTGAAAAATTGTTTTGAGTTCACACACGACAATGGGTTTTATTACGTTTGCCTTCCTCCCAAGCTCTGGTAACACCAATCACTGGTCATCCTTTAAATTCCATCTTCTCCAGGCAAGGCATTTAAGTCGAATAATCCAGTAATTCAGCCGTCAGCCCATATCAGTATGATGGCCAAGATTTTAAAAAGAGCACATATCAGAAATATTTATTTCTGGCCTTGAAGGCTGTTTTGTATTTAGGGCAAATGCACACAAGTTTCTTGGATCCATCAACTAAATGCCAAAGTTCCCAATGGAAGAGTTCATGTGCTAATTTCTGCAGCTAACCTACTAAAACACCGCATTTATCTACTTAATGCATCTATTTGGGAGTGAGGCGGCCCCAGCTTAAAGCTAGGAGGAGGTAGTATAGCACGTTTTTACTTTGGAAAATAAACCATGCACTGTAACAGTTTATTCTCTAAGAGCATCAAATCCCCAAAGATGAGCAAACTCGAGAGGCTAGTCTAGCTACCAACACCAAGGACTTTGATCACTGGATACCTACCACTACCACCGCCAAAGCCGCCTCCGCCGTTGTTATAGCTGCCACTCCCGCCATAGCCACTGCCCTGGTTTCCATAACCCTGTCCACCACTTCCATAGCCTCTGCTTCCTCCAGAGTAACCAGGGCCTCCTCCATAACCACCTACGAGAATACAATTCTTCTCAATAAGACAAAAGTACTCGACAGTCAATTCTGCGCAAGCGCAATAGCTAAAGGCTTGCTCACAGCATGCGTTATTATGTATGGTGAAGAGTTGAGCTGGTCATGCATGAGCTAAATGTTTTAGTCTCTACCAGCCTATTCTAAAGACAACGAAAGGTTGCCTGCGTTTCTTACCAGGAGAAAAACCCTACCCACTCAACCCCAACTCACCATCATTACCAAATCCATTATAACCATCCCCACTGCCGCCATATCCACCACCACCGCGGCTGCCACCAAAGCCACCTGGAAGAAAGACACTTCAAGATACACGCTCCAAGACAAATTTCCTATGTAAAACAAATTACCTGCCAATTTCATAAACGAGAAACGGGGATACTCGAGTATCTTTGGAGTGAAAGATTTTGGAGTTCCAGAGTGGGGATCCCGTGGCACACTGGACAAGCATGATCACCAACCAAAACTCAGAAATTCAAAGATAGGACTCCAAAGTTAATCGCTGCTGCTGAGTTAAGGCAGATTTTGTAGCTCCAAACCTACCATCTGTTAACTGACAAGGGGGTTGCCGTGTAGGGGGGAAATGGGTGGGATGGGTAGATTTAGTTAACTACTACATGAGGCGAACTATAAAGGGTCACATACCACGGCCGCTGAAGTTTCCGCCCCGACCAAAGTTGTCATTCCCACCAAAACCGCCACCTCGGCCACCACCGAAGTTTCCAGAACCGCTTCGACCTTAAGAAATAGTCAAGTGAGATATGAAATTTTTTTAAAGTTATCAAGGGTTTAGGAGGGAGTGCAAAAATGAGCTGATAACAAAGGCTCAAGTAGAAAGAAAATGTTTTGAAAATGAGAACGTACTTGACACAATGGATGCTGTGTATGGGTTGTGAAAAGAGCCGTTTAAGAGCCCCCAATAAAACGATTAAAAACAAGAATTAACTTTAAGCAGCACTCACCTCTTTGGCTGGAGGAGGCACTGGCCATCTCTTGCTTCGACAGGGCTTTTCGTACTTCACAGTTGTGGCCATTCACAGTGTGGTATTTCTGAACTAAAAAATTACATAAGAAAATAAAATACTCGCTTCAGACACGCGACATTTGGAATCCCTGTTGAGCCAATCATCTGACACTTACTGACAATCTTATCTACGGAGTCATGGTCATCAAAAGTCACAAAAGCAAAGCCTCTCTTCTTGCCACTGCCTCGGTCAGTCATGATTTCAATCACTTCAATTTTCCCATATTGCTCAAAATAATCTCGTAGGTGGTGCTCTTCAGTGTCTTCTTTGATGCCACCGACAAAGATCTTTTTCACCGTTAAATGGGCGCCCGGTCTTTGCGAGTCCTTAATAAGAAACAAAGTTTTTAGAAATTGAAATGTAGGACCCAGTCAAGAACTGTAACCTCCATGCACGCCGAGTAGTAGAAACTTACTTCTCGTGAGACAGCCCTCTTTGGTTCCACGACTCTGCCATCTACCTTGTGTGGCCGTGCATTCATGGCTGCGTCCACCTCCTCCACAGTGGAGTAGGTGACAAACCCAAAGCCTCTGGAGCGCTTGGTGTTTGGATCTCTCATCACCTGAAGTGAGGACGTGGTGGTAAGGTACACAAGATAATGTATAGAGAACAAGAACTATAAAGAAATGGGAATGCTATGACTGGGACCTGAACAAGTCAAGCCGCTCAAGATAGCCCCAGAACAACACTACTCAGCTAAATAAGGCCATCTATTCAAGAACACATCCTAGGAAGCCCTACAGGAGTGGAGGCAATCCACTTCCAAAGCACCGCCCCCTTTCACTCAATTTTAAGATTGACCCCTTCCCTAGGCAGGGATCAGAGGATTCTGGGATTTCACTGTAATCCATAGCCTTGGGCATTCAAGGTGCTCAGAATCTAAACTCTTGATACACCCGTGAGTCTAGGAAGCCCTTTCGTTCGTTTATTACTATCAATTGATTATAACTACACAAAGCGGCTGGAGGCAAACAGGGACCAAGAACATTCCTTCTAAGGCCTTTTGTCTTACCACACAGTCCGTAAGTGTCCCCCATTGCTCAAAATGGCTCCGCAGACTCTCATCTGTTGTTTCAAAGCTCAATCCTCCGATAAAGAGTTTCCGCAGCTGTTCGGGCTCCTTGGGAGACTAGGGGTGGGGGGAAAGGGTTAGGCTCTCACACTCATCTCAGTTCCGAGTCTGCAGGGGTCAAGCTAGGTAGGCCCCACCATATTGTTCCTTCAAGCTGCGACCAGACACGTGCTTCCTACGGAGGGCGGGCAGCGGCGAGAGACCCGCGGAGCCCCCGGCGCATGCGTTCTAGCGCGCTGATACGCACGCGCAACAAAAGCACTTGGCGGGAGGGGTGCATTGCCAATGGAAGACGGGAAAGTTCTCAGAAATCCGAGCGCGAGGAGGCAAAGACGAAAAACAACCCGGATGTGCCTAAGAATCCTGGCCAGCTTCACCGGATCCCGGTGAAATAAGTAACGGTTACAGGACGTCGACCTCATGGCGGCGACGAGGACAAAATGGCGACTCCAGCTTTGGGAGGGGTAGGCCCCGCCAACGACCGGAGGGCTGCCGGACCGGCTAGTGCGGGCCAAGAAACCAAGCAGAATTCTGCGCGAGGAAGGAGAAGGAGGGGGCGGAAATGGCGTGGAAGCGAGCATTCTACTCACCTCTGACTTCGACATGACGGCGGTGAGGAGAGAAGGCCGAAAGATGCTTCCTCCGTGGCGTTCGCGAGCAGAAAGGAGTAGGCACACCGATGTATCTGCCCACCTAGCTACGACTCCTCTTTTTATCCCGCCTTCTCGCTGTTCGCATTGGTCGACCCCGCCCCCCTTTAGTTCTGATTGGATACGTGCTAAAATTCCCTCCTGCTATTGGTCTGTGTTGCCGCCCTGCTTTGTTACGTCACTCTTTGGGGCGTTCTACTTAGTCTCCACCCCTTCCAGTTTATCGGTTCCTGAATAATGTTATTCTTAACTAGTCTTATTGGCTAGCGGACTAATCTTTCATATTTGAATGTACCTAGAAACCCAGATGGAATAATGTTTAGGCTCTCGGCTGGTAACCGGAAAAACGGTGTTTAAAAACGCGGATGCTGCCCAAGCTCTGAAAACTTTGAAATCCTATAGGTTACTGTGAGCAAAAGCTTTTTTAGTGCGGGGGCGTTTAAACTTTTTGATTCTCCACGCTCCAAATACTATATTAAATTATTTTTTCAAACCACGTCCAATATGCATTAGAAAAGCTTTAAGGTTGTGATAAAAAAAAATATATGGGGAGGGGCGGGCGAAGTCGAACTCCAGAGCGCATGTGCAGTAAAAGGGCGAGGTTACGCAGGCGCACTCGTAGGTTCGACGGGGTCTGGAACACGTGAAATGGCCGGCGGGGGAGGCGGTGCATTTAAGGCGCCTGCGTAGTGGCGGCAGTGGCGTACGCGTGGTGGGCGGAGAAAGGGTCAGGTTTTAGGATTGGCTGCGCAGGCGCAGGGAAGGACCCGTTTTGGCGGGCGGTTGGCGTTGCGCAGAAGCGGCGGCGGTGGCAGCAGTGGCTTGTGGTTCAGTCTCGCTACAGAGGAAGAGGAGACACGTTAGCGTGAGTGGTCGCGCTCACTGACGGGTAAGTGCCAGACAATGTTATTTACCCAGAAGAGGGCTTAAACCGAATTCCACTGGGCCCGTTATTGTGTGTAATGAATGGGCCGCGGGGTATGGGGGGGAGATAGTGAAGAAGGGAACGGTAAATCGAGTCAGCCAATGGAAGCTCAGGGGGCGGGATCTTTTAATCGCTGGCGTTTCTCCGAAGCTGTGCCGCCGAAGGGTTTGACTGGCGAGATTCTAGGCCAATTAGGTCTGCTTTTAGCTCCAACTGATGGGTCGTTGGGCCATCGGATTGTGGGAGGCGGGCTTTGCTCCCACTGAGCAGCGGCTCTCTGAACCAATGACCGCGGAGCGCGCGGGAGGTCGGGCTTCTGGCCGAAGCGGTGTTTTGACTCCAATGGGGACTGCGGGAGTCGGGCGGGTAAATGGAGACCCAATCTGGACCCCGTAAGCGGACAGCTTAAGGAAAGCGCTCGGGCCGTGGGACCAATCAGCGCTCAAGAGTGGGAGGTCTTAGATTTGGGAGCTGCAAGGAAGGGGATTCAAAGCCAGTGATGGCGTGTGGCGGGGAATGTTTTCTTTAAGAAGACCTTGCACCTCCATCCCAGAACCTCCGTGGTAGGGGAAGCTTAAATTTGCTTCTGTATGCCCGAGTTTGGCACTTTAACCCACATCGCAACATCCCAAGCCCCTACATTTCGTAGGCTTTGTGGGAAGCAGGGGTTTTTGACTTTGGAAACTGGCATCTTTAGGAAAGGCCGCTAAAGTGGATATGGGATAAGTGGGTTGAATTGGGTTGCTCGCCACAATGTTAGCAGTTCGAGACCAGTAGGTGCTCTGTGGGTTCTGCAGTCTTGGAAATCCACAGGGGCATACTGCTGCCTTCTTGTGGCCCTTATGAGTTGGAATCCACTCAGGGCAATGAGTTTTTTAAGTCGCAGACAAACAGGAAAAAAATTTAGGAAACCGTTACATTTCTCTGGACAAATGCATATGTTTGTAAACACATAAAAGTTTTGCTGAGTGTTCTCTAGGATCGAATTGGGTTGGTTGTAGGGCAATTAACATTTTAACTTTAATATTTAGATCTCTTCAGGAATAAAAAATAAAAGTAGTAGTTTTTATATTTCCAGTCACAATCAGGGACTTCTCACCACCCTTTTTGCTCCTTGTTTTTTTTTTTTAACAAGTACGCTCTCTTGTTTTCCTACATTTTATTTTGTTGTTGAGAAAGCTTTGTATGCACTGAAAATACAAGTCACCAGTGTGTGCATGTACGGTTCAGTGACATTAGTTGCATTCTTCTAGTTGTGTGACCTTTCTCTTTCCTCATTAGCAATTAGTAGCTCAGTGCCCCCTAAGGTTCATATCTAACCTTTCAAGTTGCTGTTCCCAATTTAATCCCATGTAGGTAGTTCTTAGGGAAGAGTGCTCCAGGTGGGCCTCTTTTACCTTAGCTAATTCTTGGTATTAAAATAAGTGTCTCTTTGCAGTCACTTAGTGTGTGCTCACTGTTATGCTAAGTGCGTTACCACTTATCTGCAAGGTTGCTGTTTCAAACTCAGCAGCTGTTCTCTTTCCATAAAGATTTAACATCTGATAACCTTGTAAAGGGTTGTTGTCAGTCAGAATTGACTTTGTGTCAGTGGGTTGCTTTTGTTTTTTAATGCCTTTAACTCCCCCCCTGAGGGATTTTTCTCCGCACGAGGAGGCTTCAAAAAGTTCATGAAAAGGGGGAATTTAAAGATGATAGAATATTTCCACAAACTTTTTGAAGCCCCTTCCTGTGTCTTCTTCCCACCCACACAAGTACACGTGTTGTGACTCTCTGTTGTTCCTTTGAGGATGCTTGAATATGGAGTAGAAGGAAGGTGGTATTCAGATGTTGGGGAAGGAAGATCCATTCATCACCGCGGTAACTCTGCCTTTTGATTCTGTTTCCTCCTGGTTATGTGCTTGATTGCTAATTAGATTTTGATAGGTAGCCCATTTGGTGGCAACACCTATTCTGTTTATTCATCCTGGAATGTTTAGGTGGAAATATATAAATTTTCATTACATAAAGATTATACCAGAAAAAAAATTATACCAGTCTTCACTGATTTACTTAGGTCACCAAAAAAAAAGTACTAATTAGTGTTTGCTAACAAGTTTGACCGCATTGGACAGTAGTACTCTTGAGATTACAGACCTTTCCAACTTGGTGTGCTCCACAAATTATTCTGTTTGAATTCGTAATGAAGAGGGTTCTCCTTTTTCCCCATATCTGGCCCTTGCAAAAGGACAGATTTCTTTTATACCTGATTATAAGCCTATGTGAGGATATGGTATCGAGCGGCAGCTGCTTAGTGTCCAAGAATGCAAGGGACCTAGGTTAAGGTTGTCGGTCTGCAGTTTGTATAGGTTTAAAAGGGAGTGCAGTCTTGACCTACGGCAGGGTTAGTCATTCACACTGCTGGCATTTTGAACTGGATAGTCTTCATTGTGAGGTGCTGTCCTGTGGTCAAGAGCTCTGCTGCTAACCTAGAGGTTGGTGATTCATACCCACCAGTTACCTTGGGGACAGAGGCAGGTGTGGCGGTCTGCCTCCAAAACCAATGCAGCTTTGGAAACCTTATGGAGCATCAACTTTCAGTGGGTGGGTGTACGTTTAGTTCTGGTCCTGTGCATCGTAGGATATTTGACAGCATCTTTGACCTCAGTCCATTAAAAACCAGAAGCATCTTACTTGCACTCTCAGTCCAATGCCCCCCACCCCACCCCATTGTCCATTTTCACCCACATTTCTCCAGGCATTGCCAAATGTGATGGGTGGATGGGGCAAAATCTCCAGCTGAAAGCTGTTCTAAAATAACAGGTGTTCTAAAAGAAGTTGATTGTGTCTTCGAAACCTTTTATTTTACCTATTGGAAATTAAATCAAGGGAAGGAAAAGGACAAAGTGTGTAGGGAATAGCATTTCTTATAATTAAAACACAAGATTGATTGTACCTAATATTTGGCTTCCTAAAATTATTACAAATAATGTTTTCCAAGAAGGTAGAATTTACTTCAGGGGCTTCTTAGGGTTTCACTTGATTGCGCTCACTTGCTTGGGATTCTTTTGAATCAGTGTCTCAAACTTTTTTGGCCTTGATCCCTGGGTAAGAAATACATTTTACTCTGAACCTGCTCACAGATTCAGATTGAAACACGTTTCACTATGTGCAAAGCACTTTGGTATTTTCTCATCTACAGTAATATTGTTCATTTTCCAAGTGCAGATCAGTTTCCACTGAACTACCCTCACAGCTCATCACTATATATAAGCAGCACGCACTGCCAGCAAGTCATTCCAAGAACCTGTAGGGTGGGGTAGAACTGCCCTTATGGGTTTCTGAAACTAAATATTGGAGTGGAAAACCTCCTCTGCCCTGCAGAGAAGCTGCTGACCTTGTAATGTTTAACCGCTGCGGCACCAGGGAGCTGCACCGAGTGTAGACTCAGGATTCTAGGGGGAGGTGGTGGTAAACACTGATCTGAAAAAACAAGTGGCTAAATTGTGCCACTTTAGATATTCACTGAGATTTCTTCCTCTCTAGCCCCAGGCACAGGAATTTATATGCACTTAAGTCTTGACACCCCCTCATTTGGTGTATTTCTTGCTGTGTTTTACTCTGAAATATTATAGCACTTTTTCCCCATGATATGCAACTAGAAAATGTTATATTGTGAATTCACTTGAGAGTATTATGATGTAGTCAATTAATATGGCCTTCTAGCCATATCCCTTATATGATGTGTTCTAGTTCTGGATTCTATGTGTGTGGCTACGATCCCATTTTGGAGGGAGTTCTCTGGATTAAGGTGGGATCAAGACCTGGCCTTCGTAGAGGGTGTGAGCGTGTTTGAGTACTTTACTAGAGGATGTGACTTAAGACACCATTTTCTGCTTTCTTTAAGGTTACCAAACCAAACTCACCGCCACTGAGTGAATTCTTACTCCTGGTGATCTTATAGGACAGGGCATATCTGTGGGTTTCTGAGACTTAACAATTTATGGGAGTAGAAAGGCTCATCTTTCTCCCTTGGAATGGCTGGTGGTTTTGAACTGCTGACTTTTCAGACCTCAGTGCATCACTTAACCATCACATATCCCCAGGCCTCCTTGGGGATATGGTGGGCTAAAAGTCACAACTCTACACCTGTTATCAGTGATTCCTCGGTGTATAAGAGCTATCTGGGAAACAATATAGTCCGAGACCATTGGAAGAGTGCTTCCAAGATCTCTGTCTGAAGGGCCTGCTGGGACCAGATGCACCAGATTGTGGCACACAGACTCCCAAAAAGCAGCACTGAGAATTCTTCAGTGGCCCGAGACTATGGGACTGTGAGACATAGCAACAGGCAGGCTTGACTGGCTTCCTGGCCCACCAAGGGAGAGAACAAGGACCAGAGAGACCCTGGATGTTGGCTGAGGAGAGGTATTGACTGTCCTTACTGTTTACTGATCTGTCTTGTAACCTGTTAACTTCCCTAATAAACCCCCTTAACCCTGGAGTTAATTGTGACAATTATCGAACCCAACCTAGATGTAGAGTGGCGTGGGAGGAACTGTTGGTGTCAGAATTAACTGTGGAGGCATGTCTGACCTATGCCTCTTCATGCAAATGGGGAAGCCCTCAGGCCAAATATGCCCACCTCCGTGCTGTTTATTCCAAGTTTGATAGTTAATGATTCTGATGACCATTTCTTTCTGGTGGGGAAATTGAAATGGATAATGCAAAGAGCTGAGCATATTGCAAAGTTCCATTCAAGCCACTTGTGCTTAGAATATTCTGTTGTTAGGTGCTTTTGAGTTGGTTCCAACTCCTTGTGACTACAACAGAACAAAGCTACTAGAATATCGAGGCATACTGTTGCAAGGAACCTAAAGGGATTGTCCATCAATAGGGAAACCCACGTCTTCATTGATCCACCTGAAAACTTAGGTAGGAAGCTTTTATCTGAACAATAGGAGAGCCAGAGGATATCTGGGAAA